ATTAAATATATTGAGTGTATTCTCCATATATACCTGCTGTGCACTGACTAAAAGACTTCTATGAAGTGAAAATTATTAATTTGGAAATGTACCAATTGAACATTGTCTCTATTTTTCTTGCATCTTTCCAATAAAAATATAGTTACATCAAGTCCAAAATATATATATTATTAATATTATTTGTTTTTTACTGTCACCACTAAGTTAGCTTTTGTATTTTGAGGAAAATACAGCTTCTGCTCAGTATTTCTCTCACTGTTCGATTGCGCACACCGAGCTAAAGCACAATCCTTAACTGTTATTCTATTGGTTAATTTGGCCGCTGGTGAGAGATTACCAATTAAAACCACCAATAAAAACCCAATTAGTGGAGTTCTGTTGCTCCTCACTGAAAGCTGTTTACCACCACAGTTTCTTCCTCTGCTGCAGGGCAGTTCCTCCAGCCATTGCCCTCCCAGCTCTCCTCCCCACCTCTAAAACAGGCCACCCATCTGGTCTCCTTTCTGCTGGTCCTCTCGCCTCTTCCTCACTCAAATAAAGGTGCCAATCACTATAATTGGCACCCCGCAGGTCAATTGTCCCGGCCTGGAGAAGTGCCCCTTGCTGAAGTCTGGGTTAACAAGGAGGATATATGTAGTGTGTTACCTTTACAGCTTAGTAAAACCTACACATGACTCGTTCTTTCTTTGCCGATTATTCTTCATTTGATATGACTTTGGTAGAGTTTTGGTAAGAAATCATCATTTAAGGTTTTCCTTAAATGATGGTTTGCCTTTTGAACACTGACATAGAGCATCAAAAGTGTCAAAGTATTAGCATCAACTACTTAAGTATAAATGTAGAATAGACCATTTCTTAATAATATGTATCATGGTATTGGATGACAATTATTGATTATAAATCACTTTAATGTTGTAGATGGTAACTGCTGGGTAGTTTGGGAATTCCCTGCAGGGATCAAGTCTTACCTTATCTTAACCGATAATACATCATAATTTATTTATCAGTTATATTTTGTGCTATTAATCTGAATCTGCAAAGTAACTCGTAAAGTAAATAAATGTAGTTCAGTAAATGTGACTGATGTGTAAAAAGCAGAAAAGGCTAAATACTTTTGCACTAGAGATCGTATTTTCTTTTTTATACCACTGATGTTTAAATCAGAGTTTTACAGATGTCTTTACATTCTCTCTATGTTCTTTTTCTTTCTATTATTGGTTAAAAAATTACAATCACAGCTTTAAATTAATGACTGTGTTGTTGTTCTTGTCTTGTGCAAAACTTACAGCTCAAACTTCAAGATTACATATAAAAGTTCCTCAGATGTAAACACACAAATAAATAATGTAAAGGGACTTTCAGGCCCCAAATTAGTACCAGACTTTAGTTTTTTGGAACTATTTGGTCGATATTGGATATGACTTGCTTCTGGCATATTTCAATATTGTTCAAATTAAAACATTTTAAGTTTCATTTTTTAAATTTAATTGTAAAAAAAAAAAAGAAGAACAATGTCTTTTCTTGGCCATACAGACTCTGCTCTGAACACTTTATATGTAGTCAATAAAACTTAGTAGTAGTTTTGTATAAGAGAAAATGTTCTTTGACACATTTTTCATTCTAATAAAATACTTATTTTGTTGTGAAATATCAGATTTATTTCTTGCAGACCAAGAGCAGAATAGCGTGAGCCATTCCACATTTGTCAGAAGTATATGCTCATATTTTCATCCAATTAATGTCCCAAGGGCACATTAATTCAGTCTTTGTGTACCACTATGCAAACCAAAACAGAAGTAAAAGTGCAAAGTATTGAAAGGTAATGCCTCCACAGAAAGACTTGAAAAGGTGAAATGTCCACTGCTTTTAGGTTTTTTTTTGCCACACTGAGGGAAAGCACAAAGAAGCCAAGGTTTTTAATAAAGCTGCGAGCAAGCAAAGGCGAGCTTAAAACTCTGTGTGAATAGAAAGAGCTTAGACATGCAGATGTCAGTCATGTTTGTAGATTCTGATGACTGATTAATAAAAACAAACTCATATTTTCAATGAATAGTCCTCTAAAAGCAGTTTTCCAATTCATATCAAACGCATCTTTGCGCTGTTATAAAAAATGTTTAAATAGATTATTTCTCTGATTAAATAAATAAATAAATGTCCACACATGCATCTATGGCCTTGAGGCTTCCCACCTGCCTCAAGGCCAGAAAAATGAAGAAGAATCAAAGAAACAGAACACAGGAGGCAAATTACATAGACATATATTTATATGCATATGAATAAAAATACATATACATATTGTACAATATCTTGGCCGAGCGTGAAAACAGCTCTGTCAGCCCAGAAACAGAAGTAAGCCTCTTTAAATAAGTGCAAAATGTTAATGAGACAAAGAATTGTAAAGCATATATAAAGTCTTTTTTTTCTGAATCTTCCTTCGCATTTTGTTTTTCCTGTTAAAATCACATGGAGCAGACATGGAGATAACTTGTGCAAAGACCCATTTATATATATTCATATATAAATTTATATATATGTACATAGAGTTTGTTCATCATAAGTAGTAGCTGGTGCCATTAGCTTGACATTAAGTAGCTTTTACTGCTTAAAGAAAGAAAAGTTATGGCCTATGCAGGACCTTGGCTGTGCATAAGAAAAAAGTAAACCAAGCAGTTCATTTTTTAAAATAAAGGAACATTTCCAAACAATCTCAAAAGGACTTTACCTAGAAAAATCATGATGCAGTAGCGAGAGCCACGCAGAGGGCCTTAATGCTTCTTGAGATGGTGGTAACCTAAACAAGTGCAAGATGTCACAGATTGCACACAACGAAAGCAAACACTTCTGCTCAGCTGGAATGAGAAGAAACTTCCTGAAAAAATAAGGTAAAGAAAGCAGAAAAAGTGTGGAACCAAAAGGTAAAAACAAAAGGCTTTGTTCAACTGATGCTTTACAAAGCGTTTTTCTGTTGCCTGGAAGAGAAGCGGCATCTCACTTCTTTGACTGTCTCCCTCAAGCGAAACCGTGCCTCTGGTAGCTGCTCTAGGCTCGTCATGACTGAGCATACAATACAGTAACTGCGGATTTACATTACGATACACCACCGTACAGTGACAGAATATGGAGCCAGTGCTGATTCTGAATGAAATATGGTGTGTGAGAAGATTTCTTTTGTAACCACCTAACCACAAAATTGTTTAGTTTAATCGTCTGATATCCCGTCGTGTCACATTGACGGACAAGTTTAATATTTCAGCTAAAAAAGCCACACACAGACTGTGTTTTGCTTACAAAACAGAAGGTAAGCAACTTAGCAACAAGCAACACGACCCTGTTGTGAGCCAAGAAAAAAAAAAGTGGGTTTGTGAAAAGGGTACACGGCCTTACACGAGAATCAAGCCTCCTGACCTCTCAGCTCCATCTCTCTGCTCAATATTTGATGCCACTGCATGTGAATTATGGATGGTGCTTATAGAAAATAATACAGTGTTCCAACAACAGCACAGGTGCACTGCTGCAAAGAGCCGTGAGTGGCTAACAGGGGTTTTTGCAGCGCTGCTGGGGTCTAAACACAACAACAACAAATCACCTGCTACCAGCCGGCGCTACACGGGTGCAAAAAGGCCCGGTGAGCCGACAGACGGGGAAGTTTTCATAGGCTGAGGTCAGAACCTCTCCGTGCTCTCCACGAGAAACATATCTACAGCTGGAAACATGCTCGGCTGTTTCAGACGTAGCCTGGCCTTTACTTGTGAGCAGCTTTTTAAATTGATGTCATGGGATTTTTCTTAATAGATGTCGAGTCACCTTCAGCGGGCATGAGAGAAAGGGACAGGGAAAACATATTAAACCTCCACAATGAGATGAAAACCTAGAAATGAATAGATACATGGGGAAATAAGAGATGGAAAATGAGAGGCAGCACACAGACGAAAGACAGAAGTTATGAAAAGGGGCTATATCTCATCTGACATGCACAAATTGAGGGCAATCTGTTGCGAATTGCAGGTTCTCGCAGGTTTTCATTTTCTTTGGACAACAAGGACACCTGGACAAATGGCATCATATGGGGGCAGAGAAAAATACTACAGCTGATGCTTTTTCTTCCCTCCTTCAGCCCTTTCCTGCACGAATTTCACGTATGTTTTTATTTTTTATCCAGAGCTGCAGAGAAATGTGTGTCTCAAAGTGGAATATTTTCAGATCAATCAATTAAAAATGAGGCTGAAAAAAAATAACTGTCTTTGATTCTGAAAAATACCTTTCTAAGAATAAACCGACTCTTACTAAAGCTAGGAGGTTTTTTGGTCTGTTTGAGAGCAAAAAAAAGGGAGATACAGAGGGAAGTGTAAAAACCTACAAACATAAAGTGCTTTTAAATGAGGGGCAAGCAGAGGACATCTTTTCATTAAAGACAGGCTGAGGTAAAGTCTAACAGGAGGGCGAGCCAAAAGTTAATTCAAAGGGCAAACATGGAGCAAACACAGATACCAAAGAAAAATATCATTAAAAAACTTAATTTTCAGGTGATTTTGCAGCTTATTGCATCCTAAGCGTGTGCAAACAGTAAATGTTTTCTGTTTAAAAGTACATTGAGATTTCTTGTGGTTATGGATATGGCCTGATTTCAACATAAGCATCAGAGTACCTCTGATGCTTATGATGCAAACCATAAAAATGGCCAACTTAAAATAAAAAGAAAAATAAAAGCATTGGGGTAAAACAGCAGCAGTGTCGTGGCTCATTGTGACATTACATATTCGTCCCAACTAGGGCTGCAACTAACTGATTAAACTGCCAATTATTTTCTGGATTCATCACAATTTTGAGGCCATAGTGACGTCTATTCAACTGTAATATATGACAAAGAAATACAGTAAATCGTCACGTTTTAGAAGCTGGAACCAGGCAATGTTTGGGATTTAAGTTTAACCGTTGCAGGTCTAGCCCCAAATCTAAAACCCTAAATTAGAAGAATTCCCAAAACTCAGCTAGATGTTTAACTCTTCTTCAACTGTCTCTTAGAAATTTACTCAAAAGGGAATGTGTGACATCTGTGAAGTAAAGATTGTAAAGTTAATCTGAGTTCAAAGGTCATTTTCTCTGCTTGACCTTGACTTGCTTCAGTGATTGGAGGACACAAGTGTGGCACGTCCAAAGCTTAATCCTCAAATGCTTGGGCAGAGTCTAAACCAGCTTTCTCACACATGTGTTCTCCTCTCTTCTCATGTTCTTTTATATTAAACTATCAGATCTAGATATGTGATTTTTGCACCATTTGTCCAGATCCTACCACATATTATTTCATACACAAACACAACCAAATAAAGAATTTACAAAAACTACTGCTGGACACCAAACAGACTGATATTAAAATGCTACGATTCTTTTTTTTTTTTTTCGGTGTTTCTTCCATATTGTGATAGCACATTAACTAAAATCAAACATGGCCACTTGTACGGGAATATGTACCGAAATGTGTACAAACTGCTCTCTTTGAAATACCACTCTTTCTCCCTTCAGACACTGATTCAGTCTGAACTATCCATGTCACGTTTTTTGTTTTTTTTGTTGTTGTTTTTTCCTGAACAGTAAATGAAGGCCTGTATAGAGAGAAAACCACACACACAAACTCACTGGACAAAAAAGTGAAGAGTCACTTGAAACCACTGCGAAGAGAGTGGTGATAAAAACATCTGTCTGTCAGGGTTCACACAACATACACACACGGCATTTTTGCAAAAATTCACAAGTTTTTTTTTTCTTTTTTTATGTGGGAGAGTCTCCTTCACATCACGTCCTTTTCACCATTTTGTGTCAGGGTGCCCAACAGTGCTGTGGCACAAAATGGCGTCGCAAGGAAAGCAACCTTTTCTCTTCTTTTTCACATTTCTTATGATCCAGGGTGCTTTCTTTGCCCTGTACGCTCAAGTGTTAAACAGGCGGACGGTTGAGCGACTGGGATGAAAAGTCCTTGTCCCCCTGGTGTCCTAAAAGTGGGACACATTACTTAAGAAACTGTCTTCTTCCCTCCCAGATCTGCCTCTTTCCTGTCCAGCCGCATGTACGGCTCAAAAGCTGAAGACCCGCAGCCGTAGGCGGATGTGAGTTCGTGATGAGCGCCCCCCAGCAGCGGCATGGAGAAGCAGAGGGAGTGCGGAGGTGGGACGCCCAGCCGCGGTGAGGGTGGGGTGCCGCCCAGCGAGGGCAGCGACAGCCCAAAAGTCCCCCCTGGTAGGGAGCTGGGAGGGGTGCTGCTGCTGATGCTCGGAGAAGTGGAGGAGCCTCCGCCAGGGCTGCTCAGCAGGGAGCCGTTGTGTCCCGGATGCGGAGGCCCCAGGAGGGAGTTAGGTGGCGGGGCAGGGCCCGATAGGAGGCGGCCCTGCTCCAGGAGGCGCAGGATGTTGCAGGTGGCCAATGACTCGTTCGTGGAGGAGGAGCGTTTGTCTGAATCCTTGGTGGTGTCCTTCTTCTGTTTGGTGCGGCGGTTTTGGAACCAAACTTTGACCTGCAACAACACAACCAGGAAGAAAGAGTCACGTGATCAGTTTTTGCCTCATAAAAACAACTCCTTCTGATTTTATGCCCGTTTTTGAGTGATTGTCTGTTTATAAAAAGGAACCACAAAGCTTCCTTTACTAAAAGTGTTTCATAGCTCATGAGCTACCCACACTGTTTTCTTCTTTTTAACATCATAACGTGTGCAAATCACATCATGTTTGAACTTGCTGTAACTTACATGCCCAAAAGTTGTGTGTGGCTGACTTCTTTATGACCTCTGCTTGATGCATCTATACTGTAGCATGTTTCTGTGCCCTCACGGTTGCGAGCGGTGAGCGCACGCAACACCTTAGCGGGGAACCAGCCACACACGCATAAATTCGTGCAGAACAAGCAGAGATGCTGTAATCCCCTGGTACAAGCCATCGGATCAACTCTGTTGTTTTTCTCTGCACATTTGATCATGGTTGGTCCCATGCACTTTACCTCCTCTCACACTTCATGGCTCTAACAGGCTAGAAATGCACATATGGGGATGGGCAGTGATATCCAGCAGAGTGGGAATATTAGCTCAGTCATGATAGAGACACAGAGAAATAGAAAGATACTCCTGTTTGTGTGCATAAGGTCTAAAGATAGCCTCAGAAACTGGAGAGCTTATCATTCAAATGCAGCACAAATCGAGCTGTTGGCAGCAGAAAAAAGACAAAAAATCAAAATGTAAAAAATGACAAAAAAAACTCATAATTACGATTAACATCTGCACCATCGTCCTCTCTCACGGCAGCAACCTTCAGAGGTTTGCCACACGAGCCAGCACGCCACCCGCAACAGATTGGTGAACTCTGCCTGTCCTTGTCTGCCATGTTTAATTGATGGACTGGCAGCGTAGCTTTAATGTATAGCGTGTGGAAAAGTTGGGGCTGGGTGGGATGTTGATTGGAGGGCACGGTGGGGTCACGGGAGATCGCTGCACGGAGAGAGCCCCCACTGAGAGGAATCGCATACATGAAAAATGTATAAGAGCCTGACCGAGTTCCACTACAGCCGAATGGTGGATAATATTTTTTAAGTTGGTGTCATTGGGGAGAAAATGAAATATTGGTACCGTCTTGACGCCATGATAAGAATAAAAAATGCATAAAAAATTGTCTCACAGTAAGATCAGAAACAAGTTCAGGAAGTTAGGAAAGTTTGCAGAACGTTCACTCTTTAGTTATTCAGTCTCGCTGATGATTTTGTGAGGAAGACCCTGATGTTGTCATCCTGAGAATGAATTCATGAATTCTTTTCCTTTTTCCAGATCTCTTCTTCCATTTTTCTCAAGTTAAGGTGATTGTTTGGATGTTTGACAGTATCATAAACCATCACAATATAAGGTTAACATTAATGTACGGTACATATATACGGAAGCTGTGTGAGGCCCTATTTGTTATGCAGCCAATCCTTATTTTTTGGGTGTTTTTTTCTCCTGTTTTCTGTAATTCTTCCTGAATTTTAAAGTAACTTTTCACTGAATAACATATTTAAAATAGTGCTGAACCTAACGTTGCATTGTTTGTATTTTCTCAATTAAGTGTCTGGTCAAAAAACATGAGACATGTTCAATTTACAACGATATAAAACAGAAAGTAACCACACTGACGAGCTGGAACGTGATTTTCACAATTTCACAAAATTCACAATTTTGTATCAAAAATGAGATTTACTTTTAGTATTATCCTCTGAGCTCTTAATTTGTTAGTTAAATCACATTTAAATCACTCTTACTTCATCATAAGCAAGTTTACCCAACACTAAATCAAAAGTTATTTACACACACAGAGCGGACTTTCTATCATCCTCTTCACAATTCTTTCGTAGAAATCCAGTAATCTAATCTGATAAATGGGGATTGGCAGCAAACGACTTGAAAGAAAACCTCTGTAACAGCAGCATAAGATTGTGAAGGTCTGTGGCTTAATTTAATAATAATAAGTTTCATAACCATTTGTTGATTACACAACAGCCAGACAACACACGTAAACGAATGGATAAAAGGTGCAATGCAAACACACAGCAGGACTATGTGAGCACACACATTCACAGAGGTCACATGTGACCTGAACACGCGACAGTCTCACACACACACACACACTTGCAGTGAGCGAACCTCTCACATGACCCCGTTTATCAGTAAGACCCACTGTTGTGTCAGTGGACCTCTGGGTGTTGAGATCCTAGTCGCAACGCAGTTTGGGGTTGATATCACAAAGATTTTAAGGTTTCAGTTTCACACACGGTAGAAGACTTCAAAGCCACATCAAACACATTGTGATTTATTCTTATAGTTCCATCTCAGCCTGCTCTCAAAGTTAGGGTAGGACGACTTCTAGAGAAAGACTTTTGTAGCTTAATCATGGTCCCATAGTTCAATGTTTATCCAGTTATTTCCTGTATTGTTCCTGGATCACGACGAATTCACTGGGTTCAGTCGAACCACAAACAATATTTATTGTCCCTTCCTGTTTTGTGTAACACTTTTGCTGTTTACTGATTTGTTTCTGTGTTTCATTGAGTGTGTTTTCTCCCTCTCAGCCAATGTCTGCATGTTGGGGATATGCTTTCTATGGAACTGTGAACAAATGGTAGCTTGAAGGCTGTGACGAGACAACAGGCTAACAAACTGTGTGTTTGATGGACTCTCACTGGGCATGTCAATGTAGAAATCCCCTTATTCCAACCAGTCCTGACAATATGCCTACGAGCCAATCACAATCTGAAAGTCTGGCCACACCGACTACTAATAATAGTCATATTGAACTCGCACTGAACTCTGATACGGGGAAACGTTTTTCTGGTTATTAAGATCTGACCGGCATCATTGACAGTGTTTTTGACTTTATCTATTTAAAGTTAAGACACGTTTACTTTGTGGCAACATTATTGCCGGATGCAGCTCATTGTTTAGCTGTCTGGCTGAAACTTACACTACCTGTTCAATCACCAAACCACAGCCAGACACAGTCAGCGACTCTGTGAACATGGTGGAGCATTTAGCTGCTAAAGAGACAGATATTTCCCTCAGGTTCTCTGAAATAGTTGCTCAAGGGCACTTTATTGTTTCCAAAGAAATGTTTCCAACATCGTCACTTCACATCCTCAATCCAACTTTCCAAAGCACCTCAGTGATTCCTCTTATCCCTTTTAGTCTGTAGTGTTTTAACACAGCACCTTC